TTGATAAAAATGTAGAATSACTTTAAGTACAATGCTGGATTGTGGTCCAATAAGGAATCCTACAATCTGACGGCCGGTCAAACCGGTTTTGATAACMACCAAACCAAGATGCCAAGTTACTGGGCGATGCCTTTCGACAAACTGTGTGTTGGTTTCAAAGTGAGTAATGTCCTTAAATGGGTTGTTATTGCATATAAGGCTTCATCTCTCTATGACGTCATTGCTGATGGACAATTTCGAGAAACAAGCATCACAAAAGCTACGTGGATGTCTTTGATTGGTGGAGCCTCACTCCAGCCATACTGTAACAAGAGAGGRTTTAATGTTCTTGATCGCACGCGTTTGGGTATTGCATCAAACAACGAAAATAATTGCGGAACTTGTGATAGTGCCTTGGGTTTAGGTTTGGGAAGAAACTTCCATTCGTGTGGGAACTATTGCGGAAACACTTATTGCAGCAATTCAGTGAAGAAAACAGTGGCCTTTTGTTATGTTATGATCCAGTGAAGTATCGATGTGATTTCAAAATGGCAACAGACTAATTATAGGCGTTGCAAAATAGTTTAAGGCATCATAGCAAGCATTCACTGACTCCTAATTACTAACACTGAATTAAAAAGCCTTTGGATTCAGTCAGAAATTGTGAGTACAAGGCTGTATAACAGCAGAACGTCTAGCGGACATTTTTAAACGTCATAGAAATGCATAAACTCGTGACATCAAAAGATTTCTTGAAAAGATTTCCATCAGTAATTTTGAGAACTGTTGTAGCTATACAAGCACATTGGTTATTTAGTTCGCTGCGCTCACTCGTTCGATATCGAGTTGAACACTCGAAGATAAATTTGATATCTCCGCGCGCCCATGTATTATCCTCTATGTAATATCTACTGAAAATAAGAGTTCCTTATTTTTTGAAAGTCTGCCAAATAAGGTTCTTGTTTTAAGGGGTAGTTGTTGGTAATTTTGGCAAAACATGTTCTTAAGTAGGTTCCTAATTGCTAACAGGGGGATACAGTTGTTATTGTTGTGCAAATATATATATATAGACGTATAATAAATAAGCTTGATACAGGCTAAAATTATATATAATACTATAATATTATGTATAACTGTAACTTTCAACTACTGTAACAAGCTGGGTGATTGATTTGCGACCAGGCCTGCATATGAATTCGCCAAGGTTGTAAGCCAGTGAGCCCGTGCATTTTTGTGAAGCGGTCATATTTGAAAGTGTTAATAAAGAAAAGGGAAAACCCGCAGCTCGCCTTTCACTCACACAAACAGTTCAAGTCGTGCCGAATTTATTTACATAACTAAACAAAATTATTATAGAAATAAAACTTTAAGTATCGGAATGCTCATATGAAACATTTTTCCACTTTAAATACACACGTGTTTTTCAGAAGGGAACTTTTTTCACGATGGAATTTTGTTTTGAGTCGTTTCGACATAAACAGTCGCTATCAAGACATTTCACGAAAAACCCCAGTCATCTTTCTAGCTCTCGTTGTATAGTAAGTTCAAAGCTAGTAAATGTGTAACTGACCTGTTACATAGCGTCAAATCGTCGAGCACGCTTGCGGCTTATTGCCGAAAATGCGACAAAGGGTGAACTACGACAGTTGATTTGTACCAAAAATATTAAACGCTTTAACTCTATTGGAATACGTGGACCAAAGCTGCTCTAGCTCTTCTAGTAATGTTGTAGATACCTCAAAGCTTAGAGGAAACAAGAGCTAAGAAAAAGGATTTGCAATGTCTCCTCCAAACATACTTTGGACTTGGACGTCGCTTCAACGACCTTCTGAAGTCTTCTTGAAGTCGGCCATTGCTTCGCATGCAATGRAGAACCCGCGCAGAACACAGAACAATTATTTTTATCAGGGAGGGGAGTCTCGTTGTCTTAAAGAAAAAAATATTTGTTATTTCATTTTTAAGATAAAATTCTATTTCTATATAACGATAAATATTTGATTGACATTTAAAAGCTATTTTATAAAGATTTTCAATTTCTCTTTGCGTTTTAGCTTCGATTTTTCAGATGGAATAACATGACAGGCAGCCTACTCTACTGGGTCGAGTTTTGCAGTGCAAATTCCTCCTGTCGGGGGGTTATGTTTACAACATAAGCTTGTCAGCTTTGCGCTGATTGGCTAGTCGCATTTTCTCAAATCACCCAGAGTAAATAATCAACTCAATAACTGTAAATACATTCAGTACAATATTTTTACGCAATCTTCAAATTGAGTAACCCTTGGTTTGTCCTTTAATTAAGCTCTAACCATATTATAAGAACATGCTTTATAATGTTTGGCTAAAAAGGTTCTTATTTAAGGGCCGGTTATTAAAATGGCAAATTTCTGGCAAGAGGTTCTTAATCCATAAGGTTCTTATTTTCGGGTGTTTACTGTATTACATGTTCGCTTGGAGATACGAATTTTATCTTCTCGTGTCGGAAAATCTTTTCAACTCTCGAAGATAAAATCCGTATCTCCGCGCGCCCATGCGTATCGAGAAAGTGGTCATGCTGATATTTATATCATCACTATCATAACTAGATAGCGTGTATGGATTGCGGAAGTAACGTCCAGTTTCGAATTTTGGACTAATTTTTATTTGCACGAGTAACTGTTTATCAAACGGACAAAATAACACGACCTCGGTTGCTCCCTAGGTCTAAATTGAGCTCAAGGTTCCCCATGGCGTATAGAATGCCTGAACATATGGGCCGATGACGCCTAATTTGCAAACTTCAAGTTGAAGTTTCTCAGTTCCCAATTCTGCTAGGGACTAACATACGATTAATGGTGTGATTCTGGTCTCTTAACACAATTGATGGTATTTTGTATCCTTTTCTTGGCAGATTAACAGATGGGAGCAAGGATGGCCGAGCGGTTAAAACGCCGGTCTATCACCGCTGTGGTCCTGGTTCGATTCCCGGTCCGGGACTATATGTGATTTGAGTTTGTAGGCTGGTTCTCTTCCTTGCTCCGAGGGTTTTTCTCCAGGTCCGCTGGTTTTCCTCCCTCAGTCAAAAACTAGCTGTGAGGAGTGTCGTGTAGTAAAATAATGAATGTTGAGGTAGTGAGTATGAGTGAATATATAGAGGGCCACAAGTTTATTAGTCTAGAGACTATTACGTGCTACCCTCTCAAAATAAAAGACTTTATTTATTT